TGCAGATATCTGTATTTTCAAAGTCGTGGTACTGGACGGAAATAATTTAAATGTAAACAAGATTTAAATTATTTACATTAAATTAAATAATTAAATGAAATTGAATTATTTTAAGAAAAAGTATAATAATGATTTTTGATATAAAAAACGAATAATCTTTTTATCAACATTTGCATTCATCCGAGATATATACTTATATACGGCAAAATTATGAATAAAACAAAAACTTAAAAATTAGAATAATCAACACATCTTTAAACTCAACTTAAGTAAAACATAAAATTAACGTTATAAAAATCATAGCATAGTCAATGACTTATATAATACCTAGACTAACAATTTATTTAAAATGCATTTTTAAGCGTCGTTAAAAGCAAATCAGCTGGACCCGCCATTTTGGTAACGCATATAGTAATTATTCTCATGTTAAAAACTACTATTAAATTGATAACTTGCTTCCTTATTATCTCGATGATAATTCTTTAATAAAGTTTGCATCAGATATAGGAATAAATTAGGCTCTCGTTTAAAATTTTAATAATGATTAGTGTAACCAAGATGGCGTCTCCAGCTGATTTGCATTGATGTACACTTTTAATGAATGAATCGTCAGTCTAGGAATTATATATGTCAGTGAGCATAGAACATCAAATTAGCATAATCCTCCTTCATCACAAAAATTTTGATATCTATAATTATGAATTTTAATTTTGTGATTATTTGTAAAAGTTTAGGTTCACTCATTAATTATTATTACAATAGTTATTCTAAAATAGATTTTGTCTATCTTAGAATCACTACGCCAGAACACATTTACCTTTAATAAGTTTATATAATAATGATATGATTATGAAAGTGCAGGGATCTGCAAAAGTCAAATTTTTAGGCCTGTCCCAGATTTGAATTTTTCCCTGTCAATGTTTTTATTTTTTAGGCCCATCTCCCTGGAATTAGGCCCGAAGCGAATAAAAAATTATAATTTAAACTGGGCTTAGCTTTGACAGATAATTTTATAAATAAATAAACCAGGCTCGGGTTATATAAATATAAGAAAATAATGCTCAGAAAGTACTCACTCAAACTAAGGGAAAATTTTTAATATTATTTTTTTTTTATAAATATTTTTTAAAAAAACTTTTTATATATTAAATATGCGATCGTCTGGATATTGGTGGGATTTTTTGATGTAATAATAATTCAAAGTTTCATTTCTCAAAAGTTATAAGGATTAATGGAAGAGGTAAATTAAATATTCAAATACGTAACGTATTGAGCGTTAATGGAGGGATCTTAAGGCAAGCATCCCCAGAAATATAAGAAAATCTTCCTCTCATTTATATATATGTGAATATTCCTATTTTCGTAATATTAAAAATATGCCAAATTTAAATAAATTAATTAAATTTTTAATGATATATATTTATATATAACTATTTTTGTTTTTCCTTAAAATTATATATATTATCATTATTTATATATTATGTTTATTCAAATAAATTGATTAATTATCTGTATTTGATTTAATAGTCTTCCTAACTTAGTAGCATCATAGCACACGCCTTTTTAAAATTTTTAAATAATATACTCCATTTTTATTGTAAAATTTAAGAATTGTGAAAATTTTCACAAAAAAAAAATTTCCACCAATATCCAGACGATCGTATATCTATTATTTTTTAAATATTTTAAAAAAATATAAAGATAAAAATTTCCCCGAGTTTCAGTGAATTACCAGAAATTTATAATAAATCACAAGAGTATAAATTGTGATAATTTAAAAGAATATAAATTTTTAATGCATATAAGATACTAAGAATTCCTGAAGAGGAAAAGATTTGTTTTGACTTTTAAAGAAAACGGGTTATGTATGATCAATTGTGGGAGGAATTTAGTAAAAAAAATTTTTTGCGGTAGAATTACTAAAACTGAGTTTGTGAAAAATGGCTTAGTTAACTCCCCCCCCCCCTCCACATCAATTCTTAAATACTTTATAACAGGAACCCGGAGTGAACTAGAATGAGCCTCTAAACCGTAAACTTTTATAAATATCTGAACCGTAATCGAACCGATATAATTTTCTTGAAGGAGTAAAAAGAATTTTATAAAAATAGTTAAACCGGTTTCAGCCAAAATAAAATAAATAATTTTACATTTTTTAACATTCTTTTCCTTGTGATGTATTACATATTTTACCATATCTGCGTCCTTATTTATAATGATTAAATGATTTTGTTTAATATCCATAAGAAGTATGTTTTAATTTTTCACTATGATTTAAATTGATCCACAACCTTTTAACTGCTTTATATAGTATTAAAGCATTCCTATTTCTTATATTTTAGTATGCAAATATCTAAATAAGAAAATTTTGATTTAGTTGCATTTAATATCACTTTTTATATATTGGGAATCAAAAAAATTTGAAAATCCAGAATTATATAAATTTGTTCTCATAGTACTCGGGTTTCCCGCAATAGAATTTCTGTTAAAAGGGCATTTTGGGGCTAAAATTTGTGTTATCATCACAACGAATAAATATGAATCCACCTACATATTACTTAAATGTTCAAATAATATATTTAGAAATGAGTTATGATTCTATTATTCATAGATACTTATTACGATGGTGTTGCTTTAATAAAAATAATTTAGAAAAAAATTTCTAACCGTAATAAACATTTACAATTAGCTGAACCGAATCGAAACTTTATAAATTTTTGAACGCTAACTGAACCGTAGCCATTATAAATTTTTATATACTGAACCGTTATAAATAAAGGTTCCGGTCCCTGCTGTATATATATAATAACCAATTCAATAAGGTTTTGTATTTTTCAAAGAAACACATGTTCGCATGCAGATTAAGGGTCTAAACCTTAGGTTTTTCCTCGGGATTCGTGCTTAGAGCTGGTTTAGCTAGACCCAAACCCCGGGTCTGGGGATTACGCAACTAATCAATTAACAACACTTAATTTTTTTTTTATATAAGTAGTTTTAAATCAAGAAATTTATTTATACGTAAAATTGTAGATTTACAAATCAATCTCCTTACTTTAAAATTTAAATGTTTTGTTATGTTGTAATTAAATAGTGTGCTCTCCTCTATCAACCTCATCCACCTTTCTGTTGTGATTTAATCTTGATATGGATGCTACCTATTTCAAACATTGCCTTAAAAATTTAATAATTGAATTTTCTTTGCTTTTGGGAAAACGGCTAAAATCATATTGTTATCCACGTCGATATTATTTTTCCATGTAAATCAAATTTAACAAGTTTTTTTAATATCATTATATTCTTCCGACGATAATATCCACAACAGTTGTCAATACTTATGTATTAAAAATGTTAAAATTTTATAAAGTTACCTAATAAATTTTAAATAAAGAATAAAAGTTGAAATTTTTTAACCGGTCCTCTCGCACTTTTTATTATCAATTAGCTAGCTTGCCTACTTAGATGTACGGACATGGGCTAAAAACCAACTCGTTTCACCAAAAAAAAGCTTAAAAATAACGATTATGACAATTGTTACTTTTCTATGGTACATCCTCATTTAAATTTTAATTTAACATGTTTATTACTTATAATTTTACCCTGTTGCTTCAAAAAAATTCAAAAAATAAAAATAACGATTATGAATATTGTCACTTTTCTCTGGTACATCCTCATTTAAATTTTAATTTCACATGTTTACAACTTATAATTTTACCCTGTTGCTTCAAAAAAAATTAAAAATAACGATTATGACAATTGTCACTTTTCTATGGTGCATCCATTTAAATTTTAATTTAACATGTTTACAATTTATTATTTCACCTTGTTGCTTCAAAAAAGATTAAAAATAACGATTATGACAATTGTCACTTTATTTTTGTTCATCTTCTCTGATATTTCAAGTAGTCAGAAGAACTAGACTAATTAACAACACTAACGTACAAGTGATGTAGGCACGATTCATATTTCAAATTAAAAAATGCTGTTTATATATTATAAATATCTCTAACCATCATTGATTAAAGCCAAAGATTGTCGGTCGATATTCCTTTTTTATTTTCTCTTGCATTTTTTTAAATTAGCGTGTATCCAGACTTAAAAAGACAAAATTCAGGAACTTGTATAAATTTTAAAGAACTTCTGGGATTTTTCAAATTTTCATAAAAATTATAGAAAAATTTTAAATATGAATTTTTTATTCGTATAAAATTAAGACTTTTATCGATATTTTTAAAGTTTGAAAGTTGAAACCTGAACCCATTTGCCCCCTCCCCCCTCTTCGACGATACTATTAATATCTAAAAAATAATATAAAGAATATGTTTTTAAAGTATATAAAGAACAAAAAATAAATATTGTACCCTGCTAATAATGAAGTTTTTAGCAGATCAATAATTTAAATGCAATTAAGGCATTATTATCATTTGAAAAAAATATTTTGGGCTCGTTTTTTATTATTAGGCCCAAACCAGGTTTTTAAGATCATTTAAAATTTTAAAATTATTTTGTTAAAAAGGAATTTAAAATATGACGAATAAATGTTAAATAAAATTTGTTTGTTCCCATAAATATTAAGCTAATAAAAATTTCCTCCTACCCCCCCCCCCCTCCCTTCCCTTTTTTAATAAAAATATATACAATTTGCAGAATTTGATAGAAAAAATTAGTATAATTTACTAATTTTTAAAATAACGATTATAGTTAAAAATATTTAGACCGAAATTTATTTATAAAAATCTAATAAAAAAACCAAATTGGATCTAAAGACCTCCATTATATTTTTTTAGGTAAAGTCTCCCCCCCCCCCTTTAGCAAAATCCTGCCTACTCTTATAATACCCTGGCTTAGAATAATTTTTTTATTTTTATTTTTCACATCTTTTATTCATATAATTTAATTAGTTATATTATGTCAAATAATGCTTAAAATTAGCGTTAAACATTGTATTTAAATAAAATTAATATGCTTTCATTTTAACATTCTATGTTTGTACAATTATTTAGAACGAATCATATATAAACCAAGAAGTGCGGATGATTGAAAATGAGTAAGATATTGATATATAAAATATTAAATTATGAAAACCAAAAAACGATAAATGGACAATGCAAATTAATATTTAGTTTTTATTTTTAAATTTAATTTTTTGTTAGTTTATTAGATTATAAATTGTAAGATCCAAAAAATTCGGACCGATACTTTCGAACCGGACTTTGATTTTTAAAAAGATCGATCCAGACCCAGACCATGGTTCTAAATTTTGTTTTAGCCTAATTTAATTTTGGTTTATTGGGATTATAAGTAAAATGCTTCTTTAACAAACTTATTGTTTTCATGTAAAATAAAAATGAACTGAAAGTTCACAATGACTTAAATAACTCCTCTAATAAAATAACATAAAATATTCAAAAAAATTAGGTAAAAAATTAAATTAATTGAATAGTAAAAAGATCTGTCCGGACCGTGGTCCATATCATAAAAAATAAAAAACCGGTTTGAACACTGGTCCTCAATAAGATCTTCCCGGTCTAAGTACGATAGGACTGGACCATTGACCTTCACTAATTACAATATTAATTTGTTAAGCGAATTGCAAATTTCTTTCTTTCTTCGTTTTTTTACAAAACAGTTTCTAAGACATTTTTCGCAATTTTTATTTTATAGGAAACACCCTTTTATAATATAATTTTTTAGGAAACACCCTTTTATAATAATGTATGTTGGAATTTATAGTATAAACAACGAGATATAAAACAATTTTTTTTATTTTTATTTTAAAATACAACTATATAAATTTAATAAATTTATGTCTATATATACTTTTTTTAAAATTCAATTTAGTAATATAATAATCAATGAAATTAGATTAATATTATGTTAAGTGAAAGAAATAATCCATAAGATAAAATTTAAGTTAATGTAATGTAAAATTAAAAAAATTGAAATCTGTTCGATTATTTTAACAAATAATATTATTTTATATATAACACCGGAAAATGGTTTAATCTTTGGATCTTGTTAATTCTGGCCCCTCCACAATTTAAATAAGTTTTTTTGTTCAAAGTCATAATTCTTTGATTAGACGCCTTGCTGAAGTGTCACTAGCTCTTATAATTTTGACTTGATAAAATGTCAATTATTTTACTTTCGAAATATGAACAAAATTATTTTATTCAGGAACCTTTATATACTTAGGGGATTATATCTTATACATTTTTTTAAAAACCATTTTGGAAAGGTAACTTCTTGTTTGAACGCCTTAGAGCATAAAAATTAAATTTTCGATAATTACACGCACCAAAGAATATTTACAAAATAATATGTGTTAAATCAGTGGCGTAGCTACGGGGGTGGTTTTCGGGTTTGGACCCCTCCCAGAGCAAAAATTTATTTTTAGATTATACGTTCAAAAGACTTATAAGTGGTGACTTTATATTAAATAAAAACCAATAATATTTATATTTTTCTGGTTTTGATGTTTGTGGAAGGATATTATATTACTATTGAAATTATTCTGGATAGTATTATTATAAAGTCATTGAGAATAATCTACTAAATTATAAAACAAATTATTGATGCATTTAAAAAATTTATTTAAGGCTTTTATATGTATGGACCCCCTCTAAGGAAAATTCCTAGCTACGCCACTGTTAAATATTCGAAATGCCATATATAAATTAAAATAATTCGATTTTTTTTTGAGAATTTAAGTAATAATTTAGACTATTTGACTTTTAAATGCCATATCACAATCCATTCTAATTTCATGACTCTAAAAAGAGATTTTTTTCTAATTATTATGACTGTGAATTATTTTTAATAATTAGCTGGTTCTGGTTAATTTAATTAATATTTCTACCGAAAATTTTGAAATGGATTGTGTACGTTGTCCTTGTGATTTGCAATGCAAACTGGTTTAATTTTTTTTAAATCGCATCTTCAAACTTTCTTTGAGATCCATAATTGCTTATAATAGAATTTTAAATATTACGTTATTGTAGGTCTAACTATACTTCATCGCAAAATTGAATGACTAAATTGCCATTTAAGTTTTAGATTGATCATAATAAATAGAGGTTGTTCCGCCTAACAAAACCTATCAAGTAACAAATTTGAGACATATCCATTTTCTGATTTTTGGGTAAGTAAAATGATTAATTATCACATGATCAACTAGTATGTTTTATCAACATTCGAAAAGTTTATAATTATACGATCGTCTAGCATAATATATCTCTATCTTTTAACATTGTAGCCATGGGTTGAAAAAGAGGTCAAATTAATCCTCTAAATAATACTATGTCGGAAATTATCACTTAAACCCCCTACCCTAAGCCAATGACTATATTATCACCCTTGAAAATTTTACCTTATCTTCCCTATTATATACCCAAAATTATCTTCAAATTTATTCAAATGATGATAATTCTTAACTAGTTGCCCTAAATTAATGAAAATCTTGCGTCATACACCCCTTCTCCCCCCCCCCTTTGGTCTAAACACTTAATCGTTGATGTACTCCTACTACGTTAATAGAAATATCTTATTTTTATATTTCATAAATTTAATTTTTGTCTGAATTGAACAGTTATAGCTTTAAATATGATAAATTTTTTATATTAATATGCGTATTTTTTTTAAACAGAGTCCTTCAATTATATACAAAATATTGTCGAAATTTTTTTTAATGGGGTGCTCTTCTAGAATTTGTAAATTTATTAATAAATATATTAAAGTTTTTGGAAACAAGTTCAAATCGGTGCAATAGAGATCATAACTCCTCCTGACATTTTTTACCCCTCTTGGTCTAACATTAATCCAACCCTAGAAGATACTCCTGAACGCATGAAGTAACGTTTCAATTCATCTCTTAAACTTTCATTATTACATTAAATTATGCATTTAATCATTATTTTTTTAACAAAGTAACTGAATGAGTTATACTCTAACTTCTTCATTATCATAATTTTACTATCATTCATATATTAAGGATACACTTGATAAAGAATCTCACATCAAGCAAGTAACTGGTTATTTTTATTGTTAAATTTTTAAGTTTTGAAATATTTACCAGTTTTTATACATGACCCTCTTATGGGCGCCCGTAAGAGGGTGCGTGATGGTGCGGTTGGGTTGGATCTAAAAATGTGTGATCGGGTCGGGCTCAAACTTATATTTTTTTATATTTGGGCTCGGGCCACGAAAAAATCACTTTGCAGACCTATACCAAAACATAAATTCATAGAGCCAACAAAATTGATAGATGCATTACCGATAATTTTAATCATAAAGATATTATACCAAAAGCAAATGGGCGAAAATTAATTGCATCGTTGGTTGAGAGATTGTAAGCTCTTTTGGAAAGAGTGCCTTTTGAGAGCCAGTGAAATATATATTTATTTATATAATTAATAACACTATAGATTGTATCTCCAATCAATGGAAAATGGTTGGAAAAGTATTAAACAAATTTTTCCCCAATAGTGGAGTATCTAGGTTGTATCATGCCAAGATGGATCACGCATGTTCCAAAATACCACAACCGAAATATCCCCCCCCCCTTCCCCAAATTCAACAGATATATCTGATAATCAAACATTATTAGATAATTTTGTTTTGTATTATTATAAATCTATTTATTTTTGAAAATAGAGATATCTTATTCTATATTCTAGTGTCCATTTTTATTATTATAAATTGAAAAATATAATTAAAATTATTTTATTAAAAATAAGACAATTTAAAATTTAGTTTAATAAATCCTAAAATTCTCTTATCTTATTCTATATTCTAGTGTTCATTTTTATTATTAGAGATTGGGAAATATAATTAAAAGTATTTTATTAAAAATAAACAATTTAACTTCTTTTTTTAAAAAAAAATTGATAACGTCAAAGATTTTATTTCATACTCATTAAAAAACATATTTAATAAACTATATATAATACATTGATAAAATATAATAATTTCATATTAACATACTAAATCTATAATCAATATAAATAATTAGAAGAAGGGGAATTAAAAAAAATTATATTTAGGTATGGTCGGCGGGGCTTAATGACTCATGTATGGATATGCAGTTGGAACGACAGATTTAGATAGATATTCTTTGTCAAAGGTAGAAGCCTTCTTTTGGAACTGTGGATAAACATAACCTTTGTTTTGAATAATTTTAGGGCTTGAAGTCCTCCACAGGTGTCTGAAACTACCGGAACGAACAAAATATTATTAAGGTGGCAATATTTATTGGTTTTTGTATTCCCCGCTTTAGTGATGGAGTTGGCAGAAAAAGATTTGGCAAAATGATCTACGCATGTATAATCCCAAGCGAGGGGTAAACCTTGATTCCAAGGGACTAGCGTCATTCCATCCGGTCTGGTTTGATTATCGGAGCTAAGGCCAGTGGGTTCCAGCGAAGAAAGAATATTTATGGATTTCAGGTTTCTATTAATGATTGAATTTATAGCAGAGTGTCTAGGAAGTCTGCCTTTTGAGAAACGACAGTGTAGGGGGTGGTGTCCAAGACTATCAATGTAGTTTCACTTAAGACACATGATGTAGCATTACGATTTCGCAGCCTAAGCAAAGACCAAAAGCTATTCTGATTTCTTCGTTGGTAAGTAGCAAGCCTAGATTAGAGCTAGGTATAGTTTCTAACTATTCATATCCCAGGTGGCACATAGATGGGGCTGGATATATTTGATCTGGCGAAAAAGTCGTATTGTAATCATTATGTATAATTGGGGTTGGGTTTAGGTGGAGAAAAAGAGATGGAGATTTTCTTTGAACAGCTTTGAAGTGTAAGTATTCGACGCAATGCTGTATCAATGGCAAATTCCAGTCTCTTTGTCTTATAGAATTTGGATATGGGCAGTTTGGGGCATTTTTGCTCCAGAGGTCTAATGCTATCGTATGATGTGCGTCGATAGTATCCAAGTCTCCAAGGTTAAATCGAAATTTAGCAACAGAGGATAGAAAGGCTGAAATGCTCAAGGATATGGGGGATTAAATACCTATACCTCCTAGTTTTGGTGCAAGGGCAGCTTGTATTCAGGAGAGTGATGAGAATTTGATGTTTAAATTCAAGAGTATTTTTTAAATGGACTTCGAGATCTAATAATATTTCGGCAGATATTTAGTTAAAAAAATACTAATACTCTCTTATCTTCTCTATATTCTAGTGTCCATTTTTATTATTATAGATATTTTAATTACATTAAAATTAGACCTATAAAAATATAAATACTTATTTAATATTTTAGTTATAATAAATTAATATCTTCATAACTCATTGACAAGACAATAATTAATTATATTTTTTGTCAAATAAATTTTAGGATAATGGGGGCAGAATCAGTGGCCCTTACAACGGGGAGGAAGGGGGGGGGGGGGTCCGAAGCAACTGCTTCTAAAAATTTGAGTAAGAGTACTTTTCTTTTTTTTAAAATTCTTTTAATGTAACCAAGTGATTTCTGGTTTATGATATCGGACTCCACCTCGTGATTCCGTTAATACATAATAAATTAGATAATAAGGGGGGGGGGGGTCTTATTATTACATTTTAATAAATTTTGGTCAAATGTTTATTTTAGATTTATAGAGGTTGGTTGTCATCATATAAAGCGCTTGTAAAATTTTTTTAACTTTATGATGACTTGAGGGCAGCTTTGTTAAATTTAAAAGATTCTGAAAATCCTGCTACATCCACTCTGGCTAGGACTATAGTCTTTAGAATATAAAATTTTTATTTTATCACTTTGTGGATAAAATATTGTTGAAACAAGCTTGGCTTGTACAAAATTGCAAACCATTTCGAAGGATATAGAGTTTGCAATAAATCAAATTCAATTAGCAAAAGATTGCCTGATTAATTTGAGAAGTATTAAATTAATGTCTTTTATTATTTTTTAATCCTAAAAGATAATAACATTTTCAAAGGCACAAGATTTTATGAAGGAGAGAAATCTACATTTTTATTTTGAATGTTCTAGATTTCAAACATTACAATCCAAAAAGAAGAAGTATATATACTTTCATCATTAAATATAATATTGTATTTTAGTTTTTAAACCAGTGTATTTTATGCTGCACTTTATTTGATTATTATGCAGTTTAATGAAATATTTAATGATGGATGAATCGATGAAATTTTTAAATCAAACCTCAATTTTTATACAAAAAAAAATGGCGTAAAAGTCAATCGTTAAAAATGGTATCGAGGATATCTGTATTTTAGCATTTAAATTCAAGTCAAATTTTAGAAGAAATGTTGAAGTTTGGAAATATTTATAAGATGGCTAATACGAGGGATGTAACTATTACATGTGACCTAGAGGTTAAAGAATCTAAAGATTTATTCGATTCTGAGAATTGTATATTTTACTAATACATGATTTAGCTTTATCTTCTGATGATAATTCTGAGACTTATGATTCAGACTGGAAAAACTATTCATTTGTTTTACCTTATCGTCTACTTTAAAATTTTTCTGCTTTCCTTATCAATTTTATATAAATATTTATTAACCATTCCTACTACATCATGTACTGCCGAAAGGGTCACGAGTAAAATTAAATTAATTTAAAAAAAGTTATTAGATATGAAATAATTTCAAGTGCTCAAAAACTAACCCTAAAATGCTGTATATGTATATTTATTAAAATCGAAACAGAAATTTTTTTTATACGCTGGCCGTTAAAATCAGGAATATGAACCTCGACAAATAAAACGGGTTCAGGTTCGGATTCAGAAATAAAATTTAAAACATAAGATCAGATTCATGGTTTGGAGATCCTAAAATTGACTTAAAATTATACTTTTTTAAAAATTTTATTTTATACTCCCTATAAATAATAGACATGCATAATATACAAGTAAAAAATTTAAAAATTAATTTATATTTTAAATGTTTTATTTAGTCGCATAGCCCTGAATAGTGTTGTTCAACGACTTATTTTGAGCCGATTTTTAAAATCGGCTAACTCAATATTTTATTAGGAAAAATTATTATGCAAGCTTTAAGATTTTGCTCATACGTGGCATAACGGTTTGAACATCTATTAACGAAATCTCGAGGCTTAGGCAATATTTTTCTGGATAGAATATTGAGTTAGCCGTTTTTAAAAATCGGCTGAAATCGAGCCGTTTAACAACACTAGCCCTGAATATCATTTATAAATAAAATATTATTACCTAAACTACAAAACATAAGCTTATCAGGGATTTGGAGGGGGGGGGCATTATTAGGTGGATTTCCCCCGAAAAAATTTATTGGAGATCTTTAGGTCCACTTATTGGCCTTTGGCTATATTAGATTTTTATAAAAATAATTTTGTGTTTTCACTTATTTTTTTATAAAAATGCTTTTTTCTAAAAATTTTGAATTATAATCTATATTTAAAAAGTTATTGATTTTTTACTAATTTATCTTTCAAACTCATTCTATTTTACATTTTGGGTTGAGGGCTGTGTAGAGGGAAAATTTTTATTACCTTAAGATGATAGTTACGAGAGCTGGCAAATTTGGGATGGGGAGGGGGGGGGGCTTGGATACGCGCCTGCTTCAAATTTCCCAATATATCACTTTCTTTGATATAAAACAAGATAAGCAACGATTCCTATTTTATTTATAAAATTACAATAAAATATTATTACCTACACTACAAAATTCTCATATATTACCTACTAAAATTGATAAAACAAGATATTATTTATAAAATGTGAGTATAAAAACCAGAAAGTTTAGAAAAATGGGAAGAGATAAAATTTTAATTTTTTTTTTGAAACCTAGAACCCTTGAACCTTCTACTTTTAAAAAGGGACTGGTCATGGTACAGCCAAAATACTAGGGTTCAGGGGGGCTAGGTTCAGGTCCGGGTTCACATCCCTGGTTAAAATTTTTTCATAAAGGCGCCGTAATTAAAAATACCCGGGCCAATCCTTTAGAAATATAAAATCTGGGCCTGGCTGAAAATTATTTTTTTTAAATAATCTGGGTCGAATTTGTTTTTTTGTAAATTTGGGCCAGGCCTTGCAGTTGATCCATCTGCAGGACATTGATGTATAATTTTATGCCGTTTATTTATAAATGATATATGAGAAAATCATTAATAATGACAGCAATTGAAACTACATTATGAAGAAAGAATTCTGATTTGAATATTTACCAATTACCTTATACTATTTGTCAAATTTCCAAAACGCGTTATGTTAAATTTTTGAGGAAAAAAGCATATACCCTATTGCGGAGCTTCGCTTGTTCTTGAATCTCACTGAAGATCAACCCACAAACTAATTTTATATATGGCAGACCGTTAACTACCTCTAGGTTATGCAGCCTTGAAACACTATATAATAATAAAACTAACAAACTTAAATATTATTTAAATAAAATTTAATACATAAATTTTTTTACGCGGGTGCCCATGCCTTCTTTCAATTATATAATAATTTCATGGTATAGTTACTCTATATTGTTTAATTTAAAAGTTTGATAATTCTAACCTCCTTTTTTAAACTTTTTAGATTAGTATTTTACATTAGAATTATAATGCTTATTTTATTCAAATTTTACAGGTGGAGAACGAAACAAAATTTGGATATCATATATTTGATGTTGTATTCTTACCAAAAATGTGACTATTATTTACAAGTTCATAACATTTTTAGAAAATTTAGGCCTAAAATTTTTAATATATCTAACATTTATTGCAAGAAATTTATTGAAAGAGTTTATTTTATTTAAACAATATATTACATATAAATGAATGAAAAAAACCTTCTTTTATAATAATCTATTGCAAATTTACCAATATTTTGTTGGAAATTTTTCTGATCACAATCATTTTATCTCGCTCATTTTGTTAAATTTAGTTTTTAAAAAAAATTAACCTTATTTATAAGAATTTAATTTTTAGTGTAAAATTTTTTTGATTTTTTTTTTCTATGGTTTTATATTTGGGATTATGTTTTAATATTTTTACATCCTTATATATAAAATCAATCAATATGAAGCGAATTTATAAAATTCTATATATTATAATAACATTTAATGTATGGTTGTATTCAGATTAGATTAGTATTTTGTTTTCTAATAATTAAGAAATGGAAAAAAGGTTTATTACAATTTATTTTACAAGTAAATTTAGAAAATCACAGTGATATTTTATCAAAATAATATGCCAACTTATTTAGCTAGAAAAAATTAATGAGAAACGATTGCAGGGAAAGATTATGCCAATAATATATTATCTATCATATACAGAAAAAAAACAAGTTCCTATTACTATTAAGTATGATATCAAGGATTAGCCACCCGCTTGTAAATCATTTAGAGAAACTCGTTGCGGACAAAAAAAGAGTTTACTGACCGGGCTAAGAAATCAAATTTGAAGGAATATTTATTATTTGTTATGAGATTCAGGATTTGTTTATGTTTTCTGAGAATTATTTCATATAAATCTTAGCAAACCTCATTTTAAAAGATTTTATAAATTTATTGATGTTTTTCCTTTTTAATTGGACGATGTAGCTCGAAGATGACGTGATAGCCAAATATAATTTCTTGAGCATAATCGATCAAGTCATAACCAATCCGGCTACTAATGAATGGGCGATGTTAGACTTTTGTCCGTTAGGTTCTATAGGTGAAAAACAATCCATATTATTTTTTTAAAAATGACCGTAATATTTTGAAAAGTATTTTATTAATGCAAATATAATTTTATTTTTAGCCCTTTGTTGCTGCATTTTTACATTTAAAAAAATCCTTATTAATCACCTCTTTAACAATAAAAGACTCTAAAATTGTTTTAAAATTTTTTTAAAAAATTATTAAATAATACAAAAATTACAAAATAATTATACAATTAAAGGGGAGGCATTTAATATCCAACTATCCATTTAAATCAAATAAATTTCTTTATTATTAAGAAAAGAAAAACAATTTTTTTCTGGAAATAATAAATGCCTAGTGATTTTGCATATCGGGAATTTTTAGGATACCGAATTTCATTTTTTTAATGCTACAATAGTGACAGGCTTTCTTGTTACTTTTCCCCTGAGTTTTAGGATCCCTTTCTAGAATTTTGAACGAATTAGGTTCCCATCTTAAAGAATATGTGCAACATTTTTTTATGATCCCATATCTAGACACCGAAACATATAAAGTTTCATTGCGGATGATTCTCCTAGTCAATTATTTTTGGAAAAGAAAATTTCTTCTTTTTTTAAAAAATATGATCAAATTTTTAAAATTTAATTGGATTAGTTATGGAGATAGCATAACTATTGAAAATAGTTGCATCAATCAGAATTAAAAAAATACGCATCAAAGATCTCTTGACTCTATTGTGAATTTCGTAATTCGGGTTTTATATAATTATTACAATCTTCACAACTCATATTAGCTCTGTAATCTTTAATAACTGTTAGAGAGAATTTATATTAGTGCCATCCTTCACTTTGCGCAAAATAGATTGATATCTGACAGATTTTGAAAATTGGTAATTAATAATCATTTGGTGACGCCCAAACCTAACTTAAATTAAAAATAATATGTATATTATTGTTATTCCTAAAAAAATAAATATTACCTATCTTTTCTTATCTTCCTGTCCTCCTTTAACGCGGGAAGTTTTTTTATTAGTCCTTCCTTATCGTTCTGCAGGAATCGGAACCCAGATTTTTAAAAATTCTAACAGTCTACGCCGAAAAAATGTTATTTGCGTCAATAATTTGACCACAGTTTCTACAATGTTTTTTAAAAATGTATTTATTATTTTTACCCTCATTTACACATTAAAATTATTTTTGATGTAATATTATGTTTCTATTCTACATATAATACATCAAAATAACAATGGAAACAAACCACTTCTCTCGGCTTAAGACCATATTTTAAAACCGCATTTTTATTATGATATTATTTAGAGAAGTTTCGTTTTAACTAAAGTAGTGCATAATTTGAAAATTAAAAATTTGTTTACATTTGAATCTAGTCAACAAATAAAATTTATATATAGTCAGATAAATTTATTCTTAAAATAGTTACAGGCAGAGTTCGAAAAATCATTATAGATTATTTAATAATAATTGAATGAATGAATGAATAAAGGAATATTGTGAATATTATTCTTAATTTTATGAAAAAAATTTAGAATATTAATTGATATCCCTAAAAGTTTTGAATATCGTACTATACATTCATTCTTTACTAAATCATGAATATTTTCCCTAGGGTACAGGTTCTATATATTGTGTAATCTGAAAATAAAACATTTTCATAATTTCCATAAATGATTATAGAATGTCATCATAAAAGAGATATAAACCAATTATCACAACATGATTTTGATCTAAATTGGAGATCTCCTTTTTCTACCCTAACAATCATTTTCTCTCTAGATTTCTAATTATATTTTTTATACAATATATATATATTTGTGTATTCTCCTATCATTTTAATCAAATTCTCGTCCATAAAACAGAAACATATTATTTATGGATTTTTATCATTTAGGCTTACCATGATCATATTCTGAAACAAAAATATCCCCTTTTATTAATAACACTACAATATCCGTTATGATGTCCTATAATCGTTTTAGGTAAATATATCAAAATATTGCATTTCGGATTACACATTATTGCCTCCCATTATTCAAAATGAAACCTGTAAGTGAAGAATAAATTCAACCCACTATATTAGTTAAATAAAATTTTATCTGTTGAGGAAATCATGGTTCTATTCAAATGTAAACAAATTTTTAAATTATCTACAATATTTTGTTTTAGAACGGCACTCCTCTAAACAATATATTTAGAATTATCAATCGATCTGCCCATTCCTAACCTGGAATATTGATCATAGTCGATCCCTCCCACTCCTGGGAGTCTTGAGCCTGAACATTATACTAAAAACAATTGGAGAATCCATGGTTGAATTTTCATCGGAAAAGTTAACAGGGATGTATTTTGACATTGATTATTTTCCAGTGTCGATTTAGTGTTGGACTTTTAAAAAATGGGTATTGATTTAAACAGAACTATGAATAGGACACAAAACTCTGTCAGATTTCAAAGAGGAGATAACTAATATTTCATTTCTAGCAATGGTATTATTTTTTAAATTCTTAGGTTTGGATATAGAAAATGGAATAATAAATGTTTTGATTTGGAGCCCAAAAAATTAAACTAAGTGGTTAGGTTTTAGTATAAATTTTTTTTTAAATTTTAGCCAATATGGAGAAAAATAACTATTAACGATTAAATGGTATACTTACCAATAATAGCTCAAACTACTTCATATTCATAATTCTAGAAACCTCTAAATCCATCTAACTATCATTATATTGACCATTTTTTATGGTTTACAAGTCCTATCAAAAAATTACTTTATTAATATAATTAAAAAATAAGATCCCTATAAAGTCTAATCAAATCTACTATGCATGTCTCATTAATTAATGCTAATTTTTTGATCATTGATCACTTTAAAAGATTGTCTTTTTTTAAAAATGGCGAAAAAAGGGAAATTATACCGTAACAACGAAATTCCCTTAATAGCTTCCTACATGGGTCTTTTCTATCTGGATAAACCTATCGATTGGTTAATCGCTAGTTATTTAATCAGCAGATATTGCACGCCAGTTATTCCCAAGGTTAGTCATTTATTAACTTATTTGGATTACTTAAATTCATAACATGACATCCAGGAAAAGGGGAAAGGATAAATTTGTACAAAAAGTCTTGCATTTTATAAATAAAAATTATATCAATTGTATTCCATTAAAGTACGATTTTACAAATCTTAGGCTATTTCAGACCAAACGTTCTTTCAAATCGATTTCCTAGGCATATTTCTAGTAATTTTTTTTATTTCAAAAAAATGATAATAATTTGTCGAATAAATTTTTATGTATAATATAATATCTTAAAAAAGCATGGTTGTTCGTGCATCTCAGGCGATAAAAAAATTATAAGACTCTAATTTAATCGTCTTATTTGAATAAAAATATATTGTATATCACGAATAAAATATAACTCCATTTTAATTTCCCTGCAAACTAAAAATATATCTCATAATTCTCCATCATTGAAATGAATGAATAAAATAATATACTCAATACATATTATACAATAAATATAAAATCTAACCAATTAAAACTAGCTTAATTTAATTGGCATTTATTTACATTATTCTAATTACATATGTCTACACACGCTCTCCTTTTTCAGAGTATATGTGGCTAAAAACAAAAATATATTCATGCATACCCAATCCGTTGTCATTCCCGGTTCATCTACAATAAATGAATCAATATTTGCTTAACATAAAAATTTATTGTCACTATATTTTTGTTTCCATTCTTTTAATTTCTTGCCGGTATTTAAGCAATGGCAATCCATTTCAAAAATCTTTTTTAATAAAATGTATTTGATTTATAATGTAAATAATAAAAATAAATGCATTTCATTTAATTCGTTCTATATACGTTAATTTTTAAAAAAAATTTAAAAAAATCGAGAGGAATATTATTTCCTCAAACAGTGTAATTTATCTAAAGAGGGGAAGATACAATTTAATTACAAATAAAATCAATCTGTTAATTTGCGAGATTTTATCTTTCTAAATAAAAAAAAGAAATAAGATTAAATAATTAAAATATCAATTTTGAAACAATAATATAATTTAAAGTTTCTTTTATTCATAACTATTAATTATACAATAATAAATTATACAGTAAAAACATTATAAAATTAAAGTTAAAAAAATAAAAATTAATTAAAAGAAAAATTAAAAGAAAACTAAAAAAATAAAAAAGTAAAAGTAACAAGTCTTTTCTTTCTATATAAATCCCATTATATAGTATAATTATTTGCATAATATATAATAATACTCGTCGGATTATAATAATATCTCTTTATTCAAATTTTAAATGAACTCTATATATTCAACTTTATATAAAAAAAACTTTTAGAATATATGTATATAGAAAATATAATCCAGACTAAATATCTATAAACTAATTTTTCAAATTTATCATCACAATCACAACACCCTTTCCCTTAATTCGACCTACCATTCTCCAACTTTTCTTTCGATTTCTATTTTACTGATATTGTATCTCCACCAAATCTATTCTTCATAATCTTTAATGTCTTCTAGGTTCTAACAACGCCTGTAACTTGTCTATTATTCTTAACTTCTAACGACAGTTTGTATCCGATTACCGCTCTATTACCTTTGCAAAGTTTATTTAATCTGATAACAGATTAAAATTTTTAATACAATTTTCTGTTTGTCAACCCACGGTAAACGATTAGCTTTTATCTCTGTAAGCGATTGACGAACCAGATTAACGCTTGCTTTCACAGATTCAATTGCTAGTCAACAATTATCAATTGTTGCTAGTCTTTCTAGCCTTTGATTGAGTATAACGTCCTCTTGTAACTAATGATTAGATCTTTATCTCGGTAAACTATTGACGATAATTGCGATTAACGATTGTTTTCTCACAAATTCTTGTTCCTATGATTGTCAAATACAGTATCCTATGCTAATGTTTTGGTAAAAAATTGGCGATGATTGGTCAGCGATTAACGATTGCAGCATGAATGCCTTGACTATTTGTTCTATATAGTCGCTCGTTTCCAAAGTTCTCTGGTAATTGATTGGTTCTTTGCATCTTTTTCTTGTAACCATATAGATCTTTTAGACTTCTGGGTCTTCTACGACATTTGCACTGGCCTACATATCGACTTTGTCTTAAGGTCTCTTTATTCCCATTTGATCTTTGCTTATGGTGTCAGGTAATCTATCGCATCTAATCTACTTCTACCTAAAAATAATCTATTTACCCCTTATAACTTCTGAAATATTTTATCATTTTTCTTAGATTCATTCTCAAATTTATATTGCATTGTCCAATATACCAATAAAATATATAATTATGTAACTTCGTCTTAATGTATAAGGTAATCGCCTCTAATCTAATTCTTCCTTTCATAATCTATTAAATTTCATAACTTCGAAATATATTGCTCACTTTTTTATCTAAATTAAATCTTAAAATTACATAGTCAAAATATAATATAAATTATATAATCATGTCAAATTCTACCACCCCTTACCCTCAATGAAGCCTAGACCCATATCTTTATTGAACCATTTGCAGGTAGTCGTCCTTTAGCTATCAATTCACATCTTTTGTCAACCATGTCTAAAGCTGAATTTATGTCTAAAATTCTCTTGAATCCTGAATATAAAGATCTTAGTTCCAAATTTTTTACCTCAAAAAGTTTTTTTTTCTTGTGGCTTTACGCATTTATTTCATTTTACTAATAAATCCTTGTATGCACATGTTCTTTAAAGAAAAATTAAATATCTATTTCTTTTCTTCTCCTTTATGCGGCTTACATTCCTTGTTCAAAAACAACATATTTTTCATTTTTCCTATTCGTTCACTCTCGTTGAAAAGCAAATGATTTATCTTCTCATAAATCTCACACCAGTTGTTAAAAAACAACTCAATTATGTTTATCATCCATTCTCACACGAAATTATGATTCTCATAATTCGAGCACAATTATGCCTATCATCAATTTTAAAACACATAAAATTATAATTCTCATGACTATCCGACCTGTTAAAAATCTATCATCAATTTTCAACACACCAAAATTATGATTCTCATAACTCTATCAGACCTGTTAAAAAACAAATCAATTATGTCTATCATAAATTTTCAACACACCAAAATCATGATTCTCATAACTATCAGATTTGTTAAAAAACAAATCAATTATGTCTATCTCAAATTCTTCTTTTTTTGAAACCTTTTAAATTCCATACTTTTTTCTCATTTTACACAACGAGTCTTATTTTAATTAAATATATCAAAAAAAAATTCCTTTTGCGAAGTATGTAGTATCCATATCCTCCTTATTCAAAAAAAATAACTTTATTCATTGTGCTTGTATCTTTTATTTACAAGCTCTAAGGTAATTTTTGATTTTCTATTTTCTTATACCTAAAACCTCAAACAATTTAAAATAGTCTTTATCATTTCTTCTTTAGTATTTTCATATTTTTCGCTTGTTTTTCTTTCTACTATTAATAGAATAATGTTGCCTAATTGACCTTAAATCTCATTAATGATTCAAAATAAAAATTCCGATCTCTAAATTGAGCTCGATTACGGCATAAATTTTCTAATGATGAAAGCCCTTTCTCTTTATGAAATTTTTGGTTAATCAACAACCTAATATTTTACTAAATATTATCAACTTATGCGTATCTTACTCCCATATCAGATAATTGGTTGTTTTTTCTCTCGCAGCCCTTAAAATAAAAGTTAAATGTAAATCTTTAATAAGAATTTAATTACATCAACATATTTCTTAACAATAAATGTATATTCGTTTTAGTCTTAATCTTATTCTTCGAATTTTTAAATTATCATATCTTTTAAGCAAACTATTTGTATTCGTGTCTCTAATTTTAATCTTCGCATATTTTCAATTATAATATATTTTTACAATTTATTTTATTCATCTCCACAATTTATGGTACTTTTTCTTTATCATAGTTATCTCCAGTGATTAATTATTTAATAACTTATAATAATTCTAAAATCTTATAGTCCAAATTAGATTCTGTTGTTTTCTAAGTTTACCAGTAACTTCTTTTAATTTCATAAACTATCACCTTTAAATATTTATAACACAAACTTCATTATATCTTATCTACTATAAATGCTAACCTTTAATATTTACAATAATTAGTCCGAAATTATGAGCTACCGCAAAATGATTTCTTTCTTTTTAACCTACATCTTTAAATTTTGACTTAAATAACTCTACATATCTTTCTTATCAGGAGCATCGCTAGCCTTTACAATCTCAGGAGGCTCAATTAAAGAAATTTTTATGTGGGGCTTCGACCTACATACCCCCTAATTTGCGGGCCTTCGGCCGGGTTTTATATTAATATATTATACTTTTTTAATATTTGCTAACTCTGAACAATTATTTTGAATTTCATATTTTGTCATTTATTATATTATGCATACAAAATAAACTAGCATATAAATAATTAAAACAATACAAGACATTTCTAAAAATAATATTTTTTAATACAAAATCTATTTATTACAGCTAAGGTATTAAAGTGATAAAAAAGGTTAATTGATTCATACATATGCCTCAATTGATAATAGTTTTTTAAAAACTACATAATATAATATAATTCTTAGCAACTTACATTGACAAAAGGTCATGACACTAATATAACTCTCTGTTACCATTTTAGACAATGTTTTATAGAATGGACTAATAAGGAAAAATTTATAGGCCTAACCAAATCAACAATTCTTGAAGTAGAGAATATAAACGATCAATCCAAATCATAAAACTATATGGTGGTTAGAGCTTCCTCTTAAATGACATGATAGAAGCTAGTTAAGTAATCGAGAAAATTATTGTGAGATATTAAATTTCGATAAGATTATCTTCCATTTTTAATGATATATAAACGACTGCAGTTAATTATTATTGCTTATCTAAAATATGCTATCATATGCTCTCAGCATCTGTATAATAATCTTAACTTACATAGCCTCACAAATAATAAATGCTAGTTAATTTGCAGTCATAGTCA